TGCAGTAACAGTAATTAAATAGCATACTTTGGACCTGTAACCTATCTAATAATCAAAGCTGGAGTTACAGGCCTGCTTTGACTGCACTGGCTGGAGTGTTTGAGGCTGCAGCCACTGACCTGGACGAACTAACTGACACTGTGACATCTTACATCAGCTTTTGTGATGACATGTGTGTGCTGACTAAAACCTTCCGCACATACAACAACCAAAAACCAGCCCAGGAACACTCTGACTAAGGAGGTCAAAGCTGCAAACAGGAGCCGAAATGCTAAATAACAGCTTTTCAGCTAACGATCGTGCATCAGTGTGGAAAGGCCTGCGGACACTCCCCAACTACACGCCTCACCACATCCAAAACTCCACTGACTTTGTAAACAAAGTTCGAGGACTGAAACTGTGATCCTGTGAAACCATGGGATCCTATGACGTGACTTCTTTGTTCACCTGCCTTCCCACCATAGAGGCAGTAGAAACCGTTAGGAAACGGCTAACACAAGACAACACCCTGGACAACAGAACCAGCCTCAGCCCTGACCAGATCTGTAAATTACTCGACCTCTGTCTAAACACCACCTACTTCCAGTACAACGGTGGATTCTACAGACAGAAGCATGGCTGTGCCATGGGCTCACCGGTATCCCCGATTGTGGCAAACATCTACATGGAAGAAGTGGAGAATAAAGCCCTCAACTCCTTCAGAGGAACAGCACCGAGCCACTGGTACAGATATGTGGACGACACCTGGGTCAAAATTAAAAGCCTTCACAGAACACATCAACTCTGTGGACAGTAACATCAAGTTCACACGAGAAGATGTTCACAACAACAGTTTGGCCTTCCTGGACTGCGCTGTACACATTGAAGAGGACAGGAGCCTGCAGATTGGTGTTTACAGAAAACCCACACACACAGACCAATACCTACTGTTCGATTCCCACCACCCACTGGAGCACAAGCTAGGGGTCATGAGAACACTGCACCACAGAGCGGAAAACATACCAACAAGCGCCCAAGCCAGAGAGAAGGAACAGAACCACCTGAAGGGGGCACTTACAGCCTGTGGATACCCTAAATGGACTTTTGTGAAGACGGCCACAAGATCCAAGAAGAACAAAACTACAGGGGAGGAGAAGGTCAAACGCAACAACATTGTGATTCCGTACGTGTCTGGAGTATCAGAGAAACTCAGGAGGATTTTCAACAAATACAACATCCCTGTGTTTTTTAAACCCAAGAACACACTAAGACAGATGCTGGTCCACCCCAAAGACCGCACACCCAAACACAAGAAAAGCAATCTAGTGTATGCGGTCCAATGCAGTGAGGAATGCACAGACCTGTATATTGGGGAGACTAAACAACCACGACACAAACGCATGGCTCAACACAGAAGGGCCAACTCCTCAGGTCAAGACTCTGCAGTCTACTTACATCTGAAGGACAGCGGACACTCGTTTGAGGACCACCAGGTGCACATTTTAGACAGAGAAGACGGATGGTTTGAAAGAGGCGTCAAGGAAGCATCTACACCAGGGTCGAGAAGCCGTCATTGAACAGAGGAGGGGGTCTACGCCACCACTTATCCCCCACTTACAATGCTGTCCTTTCATCACTTCCCAGGAAACTCAACAAACGTAACCTATTGGCCTCAGGTGAAGATACCAACGATGGTCGTTCAGTCTCGGCCACAGGTAGTCTTAACGACTGTAACGACTGTCGTTACAGCAACCAGGAACACTAACGAACCAGCGGTATCGATGACCCGGGCCAACGACCCCACTGAGGTTAAATAGCTGAGTTTCCCTGCCAGTCAGTCAGAACTGAAGAAGTCCTTTGGATGAGGGACGAAACGTCTTCCGGTATCTTCAACCAAGTCCAGTTGCCCTTGACTTTAACTTTTGTTGAATAACTTTGACCTGGATGACTGAGAATCTTCAGACATCACCAACTACAGGAGACCATCCCCCAACACTGCTGGTACTCTGGTAACTGGCAAACGAGCTGAATGGATTTTACTGTAGGTTTGAAAAGCCCTCAGTCACACCTCTCCCCCGCTACAACACCATCTTCAAACAGTCACCTTCCCCCTCTGACACGCTGCCACCCCCCCTCTCTGACCCCTCATCTGCACTGAAGATCTGTGAAGAGGACGTGAGCCACCTCTTCCAAAAAGCAGAAGATCAGGAAGGCCCCTAGACCTGACGGTGTGTGTCTCGATCCTGCCTGAAAATCTGTGCGGACCAGCTGACCCCCCATCTTCACTCAGATCTTCAACAGTTCACTGGAGCTGTGTGAAGTTCCCTTCTGCTTCAAACGCTCCACAATCATCCTGGTCCCCAAAAATCCCTCCATCTCTGGACTAAATGACTACAGGCATGTCGCCCTGACATCTGTAGTCATGAAGTCCTTTGAAAGACTGGTGTTTGCCCACCTAAAGGACATTACAGGCCCCTTGCTGGACCCCCTGCAGTTTGCCTACAGGTCAGTGGATGATGAAGTCAGCTTGGGTCTGCATCACATCCTGCAACACCTCGACTCTCCAGGGACACATGCAAGGATCCAGTTTGTGGACTTCAGCTCGGCGTTCAACACCATCATCCCGGACATCCTCAGCACCAAACTCACCCAGCTCACTGTGCCAGCCTCCACCTGTCAGTGGATCACAGACTTCCTGACTGACATGAGTCAGCAGGTGAGGCTGGAGAACATCACATCCAGCCTCCGGACTATCAGCACTGGCGCCCCCAAGGGGTGTGGGCCCTCCCCACTGCTCTTCTCCCTCTACACCAGTGGTCACTAATAGGCGGACCGCGGCCCGGATCCAGCCGCGCAGCTTCTCTAGCATTTACTGTACTGGTTTAGCGGGCCAGGAAACTCATAGGCCATTTTCATGTGCTCTAATCGTCTCATGTGATGCTGCTCAGCCAATCAAATCTGTGCATTCCGGTGCTTGCGAGTTGAGTCCGTGAGATTCAGGTTTGAAGACTTCGTTTTGGAAACACACATGAATTGAGGAGATGAAAGGGAGAAGAGATTTCACATGACTTTTAATCAAGAATGTACAGATTGTTCCATGTAGATTCCTCACACGGGCAGTTCAGAACCAGAATATGTCATAGATCTCCAATCCTAGCTGGCAGGACAAGCTAGAGCTCACATTTCTCACTGAACAAGAGAAAGTAGGAAAGTGGTAGCTCTGTAAGAGGGAATGAAGGAGAAGAGGAGGCATTATATCATCATCATATTTGATTTGAGAGTCCGTTGTTGACTAAAAACATATGTTGATACAACTAAACATTATTGTACCGAATGATAACGCAAGTTAGTCATTTTGATGTTCTGGACCTTTGCTTCGGGAAATTTTCTCTAACTGGACCTCTTTGAATTCTAATTGAATACTCCTGATCTACACCAACGACTGCACCTCAGGAGACTCATCTGTCAAACTCCTGAAGTTCGCTGACGACACAACGGTCATCGGCCTACAGACGGGACGGTGATGAGTCGGCCTACAGACGGGAGGTTGGTCAGCTGGCGCTCTGGTGCGGTCAGAACAACCTGGAGCTTAACACGCTCAAAACTGTGGAGATGACCGTGGACTTCAGGAGGAGCCCCCCCCCCAGCCAGAGGATGTACTTCCTGCACCAGCTCAGGAAGCTCAATCTGCCCAAGTAGCTGCTGATCCAGTTCAACACAACCGTCATCCAGTCTGTTCTCCGCACCTCCATCACCGTCTGGTTCTGCCACCAAAAAGGACAGGAGCAGACTACAACGGACAGTCAGGACTGCAGAAAAGATCATTGCCCCCTGCCCCCCCTCCCGTCTTTCAATCCTTGTGACACCCTGGTCTACATGTTCTGGACCTCTGGTTCTGACTGAATGGTCACCTGGTTTGTGTATTTCTATTTTGCCACCACATCACAGAGGGAAATATTGTACTTTTTACTTCAGACAGATATAGTTACCAACTACTTTACAAATTAAGATTTTACATAGAAAACATGAATTATAGATTGAGAAACCGAACAGTTCATAATATATTTAAAATTAGAGTAATCTTGGCCAAATACAACAGTAAAAAGCTACCGTCTCATGTGGAGACAAACCGGTTGACAGAGCTGCTTTCTCACGCCACCTCATTTCTGTCTAATTTCTTATAATAAAAAAAAAAAGGTTTGAAGAAATGTTTAAAACTGAATTTTTAATATTTTCAGTGATTTACAGATTTGCACATAAATGATTTGGGATTAAATCACTTTACCTTTAAATAGATTTCAGTTTCATTTTTTACTATTTTGAACAATTATTTACAGTTACACAGTATATTGCATACATTTATTTTGGTGCCTGTGTCACCTCTCTTGTATTTTGGGTTTTTGGCAGCTTAAAACTTTATTAAATGAACAAACCGAGAATCAGACTCACAGCTGAGTTTGTGCTGAAATAAAGGACACCGTGTATGAGGGGTGAGGACAGTTTAAAAGGTAGACAAGTGTTTACATGTAAATGTTGTCTTTGCAGAAGACTGAAATATAAATGCATTAATAACCATCAAATAATAATCCAGTAATAAAGCAGTACACTAAAATCAGTATCAGACAATTGTCCTTATTTTTTTAAAAGTAATGTCTGGGCATTTTCATGCCTTTGTTTAGCACTGGTGTCTTTTTAGTTTAACATTTTCCTAATCAATTTTTTTTTATTTGATCTTAATTTTCCGTTCCGTTTTCAGTTTTATATCGCTTTTCTTTTTTAAACGTTAATCTTGCCTAATAACTTCTATTTTGGTTATTTGGTAATGCTGGAATTTTTTAAAATATTGTCAAGCACCTTGTATTGTTATTTTACACAAAAGGCGCTCTACAAATAAAGTCTGAATGATTAATTTATTAGTGGAAGTTTAAATATGGGAATCATCTTTTGTAAAATGTGTTTTCAGACAGACAGAGCAGCAGATCATCAACACATTTGTTTTAAATAAAATATAGAAAGAATTATCAGCTCACAGAACAACACTTTATTTATAATCTTAAGTTATTTTGATCAAAACTAACTTTAAATGTGAGCGATGAAGAGGAAACAACCTGCAGCTCTGAGTTTGGACACCAGGGGGCAGTGAAGCACCGAGGAGAGCTGGAGTCTGCAGACAGTTAGAGGCAGGAAGAGTTCCAGCAGCAGAGTCTGAGAGGCTGCAGGCAAACACAGGAGGGAGAAATGAGCTTTTCAGGGGCCACAGCAGATTTAATGTTGGGCCCCAGACCTTATTTCTGCTATTTTTGCTTCTGTGCAAAGACTCAGAGATGATTCCCAGATTCTGTTTGTCCGCAGTGATTAAATGAAGGTCAGGAATTTGTGAAGAAATTCATTTGAATATCTGATAATTGGAATCTGATCAAACCTGCCACGCTGCGGTTAAACCTGACCAGCTGTTTGCTTCATGAGCATATTCTAGCCTACTGTACTACGACTAGTTTTGTCACAGTCCAGTGTTTCCATCAGCAGCAGTACTCTTTATTCTATTAATTATATAGTAAAACATACACACCAACTTATAAAACCATATTATCAGAACTACCACAATTATCATCATTATTGTATTATATACTTTACCAGATGGAAAACCCTTTACACCCGTTTCTCTCCATTTCAAATACTCACAGAACAGGATAAATACGTAGATTTTGTGAGCCATTCTTGTCGTTTGTCTGTAGAAATTGTATCTCTGTCTATTTTTGTTGCGTCTGTGAAATCTTTGTGTAATGTTTGTCATTTTTAAATAAGTCATATCTGCATACATGAAAACTAAGATGCAGATTTTTCAGAGTTCATCTCAGAGTTGTGTTTGTGAGTTTCTTTGATTTAAACTAAAGAACATCACACTGTGGTTTTTGGTCAGAATGATTATTATTGATGGACAAAGTGAAGACTGGATTTATTTCTGCAGACGCCTGCAGACATGACTACAGGTACAGTATTTTAATGCAAATGTCAGGTCATTGCCAGAGATTTTTACTAATTAATTATTCTGTGTATTCATCCTTTAATATTTTCTTTTTGCCTCCAGCTGCTGTTGTTGATGTTCATCAGTTTCCGTCTGTGATGCAGTAAAAGCAGCAGAAATTAAATATGCTTTATCTCTACATGTGAATTCTTGTTTTGGATAAATAGACACTTGACTTAACATTAATCACACTTGAAAGATCAAATTTCAAGGATTCGTATGAAGTAGTATCCATTAAAAAATGTATATAAAACATTTCAATAAGCTCTTTTTGTCGTGTTTCGTTGTATTTTGGTATTTAAGGCAATAACTTTAAAGTTCTGCTCTGTTGAGCTTCATAGTAAAGATGTGAGTTATAGCAGTATTTCTTATTTAGGAACAATAACTTGTGATACTGACTGTTGATTGGTCACAGTAGTGTTAGCAACTGTCATGAAAACAGTTTATTTTTACCTGTTAATCCAGCTCAGGTGTGCAGCGGGTGGAGCCTTTCCAATCTAGTAACAGTAGCAGTTTGAGTACTACCAGTGAGTACAGCTACTGTTACTCACACTACTACTGTCAGTAGTTACTGCTAGTACTGGTGGTAGCAGTAGGCACAGTAGAGATGTTGCAAAGTGCTGAAGCAGCAGCAGCAGCAGCAGTAGTAGTAGTAGTAGTAGTAGTAGTAGACATGATGATGATAGTAGTAGTAGTATGGCAGACCAGAAACAGGATCAGAAGAGCCGTGAGCAGGTATAAATGGTAAGAGGCTGATGAGGGAAGTGAGAGCAGGTGTGGCGGTCAGGTGAAGGGGGGAGGAGGGACAGTCTGAGGAGGACACCTGGTGGAGAGCTGGAGGATGGCAGGTCTGAGGATCCAGATCCAGAGGGCAGTGCTGAGGGGAAGAAGGGACTGAGGAGGACATTTACTCATGAAATACAGAAGTACAGTTTTTAGCAGTGGAGGAGAAAGTATTAAGATCCTTTATTCAGTAAAAGTACTCATACCACACTGTAAAAATAAGAAAATGTTGCAATGTTTAAGTAAAACTATGCAGAATAAGTATAATCATAAAAACGTAACTTAAAGTATTAAGAGTAAAAGTACTCTGATACAGTTATACTATTATATATTTTATCATCATCATCAACTAATTGACTGACGGAAGGTTTCAGCTGTACTTTTAACTAAACATCCGATTTTTAGAAACTCTTGTTGTGTTTTGTGTAAAAATTTGTGAAGTAACTCAAGTTGTCAGATAAACGTAGTGAAGTAAAAAGTAAAGTATTTCCTCTGAGATGTTGTGCAGTAGAAAAGACTCACTACAAGTACCTCGTCGTAGTATTAGTCGTAGTATTAGTAGTAACAGAGGTATTAATCATCCGGTGACCTCTGACCCTTCATGATGCTTTTCGGGTCAGAGTTGAACTTGATGAACGGAGGTGAACGCCTGATGATGCTGCGCTCTGATTGGACGACAGCAGCACTGCCTCAAACTGAAATGAGGTGAACCTGCAGAGTGGCGGCTCTGCGGGTTCAAACTCCACACGGCCAATCGGCACGCAGCTGCCGGTTGTTCCAGTGTTTAATGTGCAGCAGGTCGCACTTCCTGTTTGCAGCCTGCGGCTCTGATGGCGAGTCAGGACTCATCTCTGGATGTGTGTCAGCAGAGTAACCGGGTACATGTACTCAAGTACTGCACGTGACAACAATGTTGAGATACTTTTTACTTCTAGTCCACCATATCTTAAAGGGAAATGTAGTACTTTTTACTGCAGTACTTTTATCTGACAGATTTAGTTACTTTGCAGGTTCAGATTAATTAAAAGAGTATTATTAATCCAAAATAATATAAATATATAAGTATTATTTAAGGTTGAGATAAAACTTTATTGATCCCTGCTGGAACATTCACAAACTACCCAGCAGTATGTAAAGTACCTGCTGCAACATTAAAGTGATTAATGCATCAATAATTATGATCGTGTTCTATATTATTCTGCATGATGTGTACTTTTACTTTTGGTATTTGGTAAGTATTTTTTTATAGTAATATTTTTGTTCTTCTACTTAATTAAGGTTTGAATGCAGTGCTTTTCCTTCTAGTGGAGTATTTCTACACTGTGGTGTTACTTAAAGACTCAGAGGTCGTCCTCCGGCCTGTCATGGTGACAAACATCCGTCCAGATGAACTCTTTAATAAGAACAGGTGCATGCTGGGTCATATTTAACTTGTGGATGTGTGCGTGGTCAACTTGTGCATCAGAGATCTGCGCATGATCAGACGATGCAGGACGACCACAAACTTCATTTCATTTTAAGAACTTCTCCTCACTTCAAAGATCAGAGTCTTTTATTTAACCCACTCAAAAGTGTTTCAAACATTGTTCTAAATGAACCACGAAAAATCCAGTCATGTCATGAAATGTGCTCAAATACTGGTCGGAAGACTGAAACTCAACATTTAGGCTGCTGAAAACTGTTTCATATCGAAACAGCATCACAGACTTCCATGTTTGTTTATCTTTATTTTTTACGCCGGCTTCCCCTGGGAACCCTCCGTTTAACAGCAAAACACTATGAACTGTGGGTAATTCCCTCAGGTAAAGTCTGCAGAGATGCGGCCCATACAGGAAGTCTTTGACAGGGGGACCGTCCTAAACCCGGGAACGCTCCTCGGTGTCCGTGTACGTGGGGATCAGGACTCAGCTGACACTGAGGGGAACTATAATTTATCTTTTGGAGCACGAGGACAAGAGTTTGTGGGAATCTGGGAATTTGGATGAGACAAAGAGGAGTTTAACCTGAAGGATGCTGGTTTGATCCCCGTCTCCCCTGCTCTGCTTGTGGAAAGGTCTTTGGGTCCTTGACACTATTTGCCAAATTGCTGAAGTGAACGTGCGTCTCAGGCCGTGTCTATTTTCAAAACCGTAACTTTTTCTATGCGGTTTGGCCGTTTGTCCACACAAACCACAGGTCGTTGTTTGAAAACTCCTGTTGCAGTGTTGTGGTGTGAGTTTTTGCCGTGCGATGTCAGAGTTTCTGGTGTCAGGCCCCACACAGAGACCTTTCTCTACGTTTGCACCTCCCAGACTAAAACAGCGAAAACGAAGACCTGAAATGGAGAAGTTTGCAAACGCTGCCGACCCCGTTTTTGGTTTAAAAACTCCAGGTAGCGTTTTAGTGAAGACGGGCAAAACCAGAGGACTTTAGAAACGAAGATGCAGACGCTCACGTTCGGCTCTCTGATTGGCTCTAATCAGTCATGCAAAGCAGAAACACGATGCTGCTGGCAGTAGTTTTAGCTGATTGTTCGTCTGCATTACTTTAGTGTACTTTAAATCTTCAGTAACTACAGAACAGACCATCTGCCTCATGTTCGCACAGACACGTGCACGCCCAGTGAGCGTGAACGGCCTCTAGATGAGCGTTTTCAGTCTTAATGTAGTTGGAGATCAGCTCTGATACGCAGCTAAAGCGCTGCTGTGGACGGAGATCGTAGTGCGCGCCACTGCCTGCTTTGTTTATGACGGTTACATCGCCGCATGGTGGTTCGGCGTGCTCTTTACAGCGCTCGAAAGCGTGTTTTTGCACTTTCATGTAGACAGATTTTTTTTTTTAAACGACGGAGGAAAAACTCAGATTATAAAAACACCCGTGTGCGTGTGGACTCGGCCTTCAGTGTGTGAACTGGTGAATGTGACGTAGTGTAAAGATCTTTGAGGGCTCACAAAGACAAGAAACTATACAAATACAGAACATTTACCGTCTCACACATGTTGTGGTGTTTTTAAATTCATTTTCTGTCCAAGTCAATCGCTACTCGCTCTGAAAACTCCGCTGATCTAAGAGCTGACTGGCTTCGACACTGATGTTTTAAAGAAACTCTTCATCTTCTGTTTAATGGAAAGACTTGGATTGTAGTCAGATCTTCTACTGTGACGTTTTAAATCCTTTACTGATCTGACTGAACCGTCTCTCAAACACTAGATGTCGCTGTGTCTTTAAAAACCAAACCTTCAGTTCGCCTCTTTACAGGAAGTGGGCATGTTTTCAACATCATAGTTTCAGAGGCTTTACTGAACAGAATGATGTAACTTAAAAAGTGTAATAAGGGTCAACTCATTTTCTAAAAACGTGCTTTACCAAACGTGCTGTTGTCCTTTTATGGTGAAGGTTGTGACGCCAAGCTAAAGGAAGTAGTATTTTTTACTATTAGTACTACAAAATAAACTTCTGATCATTCGTTGTTGTTGATATTTCTATATAAATATATAGAATAAATACATGGAAATAATACTAGTTCTACTACTTACAACTGACATGTCGGTGTACCAACATATTTCTAGCATCATAACATCACACAGTTTTACAAATACTAGATGGACACGACATTAATTGGCCCTTAAAAACAAGAAACTGATTCCTGATCCTGAGTGATGACAATGACCAAAAAGATCCTGATTATTTTATTATTATATGTTGATATTAAACCGTTTGGTGCAGGCCTATATTTGAATAAACCTGTGGCATCTGTTAAAAACAAACACTGATTGTTGTTCTTATTGAAGGAAATGCAAATACAAACAGGGTGAGTCCACAATTTGAACATTGTTTACTTCAGTCCTGTCAGTATCATGAAGCAACGTTAAAGCTCTGGAAACATCTGGACAGGCAGATGTGGGGCCCCGACAGTCTGAATATCTGACAGATCAATAAAGGAAACTGTCGGTCCTGCTCTGTGTTGTTGTTATTGAGCTGAGTGTCTGTATCTCAGGATGTGAGTTTGAGCTGGAAAAGCAGACGGCGAACACGTTTGTTAATCTGAACAATCCTTTTAGGAGGCTTGGAAGGACATTATTTTAATTTTTAAAGACCTAAAGTTTTCCAGACGGAGACGAGCTGTCAGACAACTGACGGGCTCAGACCTGCTGGATTTACTGCTCATTCCTTATTTAGTTAAACAAAAATAACATTTAGCTCTTTCATAAACAACAACAACAAAGATCCAACTGATTTACACTGAAATATGGGGACAGGTCTCCTGATGGGGGCGCTATGGCAACCATCTAAAGTCAAAAATTAAAATGTATTAAAAATGAGCTTTATGTCATTTTAATCAGCGTTCAGTGTGTCTTTGATGTGATTGTGATACAATGCAAATAGATAAATAACTTATATTAAGAATAATTTGTTTAAAACAACAAAATGAAAATGAAAATGAATAATTTGAATATGAATAAAATGAAAGATGTTGCCTTTTAAAAATCAATACTTACAAATCAATACTTTTAGGAAATTTATCAACATGTTTTTAATATTTTTTAAATATTGTTATTATATTTATAATATTGTATGTATAATGTTTGATAAATAACAAAAATACAAATTCCGAAACCCAAACCTTAACTTAAAAATAAACACTTAATAAATAATACTTTAACAAATATATATTCCAAAAATATTAAAAAATTATAGATAATGGGGTTTTTTTATATATTTTTTAATATTGTTAGAGTTCTATGATAAATAACAGAGAATAATAAAAATGTCAGTACTTATATTTACTAATAAATACTACTTTAAATATATCTATTCCAAAAAATATCCCTAAATATAAATCTTTCTAAAATATTGTTAAATTTAAAACAATAAC